ATCTATCTATCTATCTATCTATCTATCTATCTATCTATCTACACACACACACACACACACACACACACACACACACACACAGCATACTTTAGGGGTCATAAACATACTACTTACTCTTCGACCTTTAGAACCCTGTGATCCAGGAGGTCCTCGTGCTCCTTGAGGTCCCTAAATAATAAATAAAAATGACACACATATTTATCATAGAGCAAACTTCTATTTTTATGTATCATATTTTGTTACCAACTTTCCTCCCAAAAGGAAAAACCTCAAAGGCCAGACCAGAAAACAGTCACCCATTTTTCTCATTGCCCTTTTTTGAAGCTTTCTCTAAAGTAGGCTAAAATTTCCCTTTAGCCATTCAGCAGTTTTAAAAGACTTAATCTCCCCTAGTCCCAGTCCAATACTTTATCAATTGCATCATAATTGCAGATATGGAAGAGTAAAGTTGTATGAGAGGCAATTTATTATATCAGCAACTTGAACGAGATAACATATCAGCCATGGCATTACTTTCTAACAGATAGACCTTAAAATGATAAATTAACAGACACATATGCTCACATAGATACATGTCTTATTTGTTACAATATCTGACCTCTGTGTCAAAAAACAAAAATCACTGGACTAGATCCACTAGGAATTACGTGGAGATTTCACTTTGGCAGGAGAAGTAATTCATGATCCTTCTTTCTTTCTTACTGCTATACAATGTCCCAAAAAGTCTCATTTCCCCCCATAATAGTTTTACAGGGAAAGACTGCAAATCAATTTCTCAATTTCCCATTACACTGAGAAATTAAGCCTGGTTTAAATATCTTATTTTGAACTCACTGGATATAAAAGCTTTTTAAGGTTGGACTCATGCCTTTAATATTCCCTACTTTTGGCTGAAAAATTGTTCTCTAAAGTTATACTGCTTATGAAAAGACTTAAACGTAAAGGTTAATGGAGATGTGATTCATGTGGAGATGTACAAAAATATAATATTTTATACTTACAGGTAGTCCCTGTGGCCCTACATCACCAGGGCCACCTGGTGGACCAGGGTATCCCTGAAATAGAAATAAATATAATATGGCTGGTACATGGATATATAGTTACATTTGTTTCAGCTTGTATAAATGCCCTCAAAAGCATTCTTCTTATTTACAATTTCAGAGCTGTGTTCAGAATTCTTATGTTCTTTATTAGTGAAGAAAACTTTTACTGGGATGCTAACAAGCCTCTTAGAGGCTTATATGTATTTGCATTTGCATATATATTTGATTTTGATGGAAAATAATGATTTCTCTCTCTCAATTCAATAGTACCAATACTAGTTCTACAGAAATATATCTGTGAAGTCAAACAACATGCCTTTGATCTAACTTCCAAATTATGTTTCAGGGAATTTTATAATATTCCCCTTCACTATTTCAAGCTATCTTTTTCAGATACTTTCCTTCTCAAACAGAAAGTCCTAACTTTAAAATAGAGATTTTTGCTTGATTTTCAGTGATTTATGACTAACCAAAGCTACATTTTTTGCTGATCGTATTTTAAAAAAATAGTCAATGCAGAGTTAACATAAGCAAAAACCTACCATTGAAAAATAATGCAGTGTTTCAATATATTTTAAGAAAGATGAATAATATTAAGACCTACAATTACTGATGTAATAGCTACTCATTTTTCTTGCCGACTGTTTCATACAAATGCCTCTACATGTAAACAGGATTACCTTAAATACTTAGTAAAGACAGGAATTTTCCAGTAACTATTTAAGTATGTACTTTCTATTTAAGCTTTGTTAATGTAAGATAAATAAATAAAATTAGCCAATAGTTTCTTAGTTAACCCTGGATTTGCTTACCATGACACCTTTTTCTCCAGGAGGGCCCACTGGGCCTGGATTACCTCTGTCTCCCTTAAAAGTAAATAAACAAATACATACATACATACAGTTCCTACATATAGTAGTTTATTTGATTTTTGACATTAGAATTGCATATCCAGTTTTGAAATATTTGTAATAATGAAAATACAACTTCTATACCTAAATAAATATTCAGTACGGTGGTGTGAATGGTAACACCTGGTTCTAAGCTCATTTCTAAGCTTCTGCAGGAATGGAAAACAAAACCAGTAGCAGCTAAGTAACTACTTTTGTGCCTACATGTGAACCTTTTTCCTGTCTCCATTAATGGATTTATTGCTAGAGTTTCCCCCCCTATTTTGGGATGAATGTGTGTGTTTCAAAACAGGTTTTAACTAACCCAGGAAGGACAAGATGGATGCTCTCTTCCCCATGAAAACCATACCATTGTTTGTCATTAAAAATGTGGATCCTAACGGACTGTGTGACTTTCAAACCAACTGTATTATTTGTTGACAGATTCTATCAATCGTCTGCTTGGAACATATTCATTCCATTTTTAAAAAAATCTGCTGTAGTTTTATTATTAAGTAACATTTTTGCAAGCAACATGGAGTAACTTTTACTCTTTTGCACAATTAAATTCCAACACAGATTTAGAGAATAGGCATGCTGTTATGTTTACATATGAAATAAAATTTCAAGTAGTGCAAACTCTCCCAACTAGAAAATGAGTACATTTTCTAGTTACAGAACCCATCTGTTACTTGTACAATAATGTAAAAAACTACAGAATCTAATCACAGGATTCTATCATGACAAATAATCTTTTCTTATATTGAACAAAATTTAGAACACCCGTTGTAATGCACATTACAGTACATATTACTTGTGCTGTTCTTGTTACATTAATTATCAGCTAGCTTCTTATAGTATACCTTCTCACCAGGTCCCCCAGATAATCCAATTTCTCCAGGTGAGCCAATAGGTCCCTAAAGAGCAGTAGAAATGGAAAAGCATATAATCCAGTAGCCTGTCATTTATAGTCAATGTTTATAGAAATAGCGTTCAGACTTATATACCACATATAGTGCTTTATAGCACTCTCTGGGCAGTTTATAATGTAAGCATTATTTGCATATACCAACAATCTGGGTCCTCATTTTACAAACCTGGAACGATGGAAGACTGAGTCAACCTTGAGTCCTGTCAGGATCAAACTCCAGGATGTGGGCACGTTTGTCTGCAATACTGCATTTTTAACTATTATGCCACCAGAGATCTTATGATGAATCTCAGCAGCTTATATTTATTTATATGGCCATATGCACATATGAGTCCAAACAATTTCTATGAATAATCGGTATTAGACAACATGTATAAAATGTTCACAATTTATTGTACACAGTATATTCCACTTTTTAGTTATATGAAGGCACTACATGCAAAACTGAAATTGCTTTTGCAAATCACCCAAACTCTTAAACAACTTTGCCTACAAATTAAATAATATATTTAAGGACTCTTAAGAGCTAGGAAAAACAATGTATATACAGAATCCTTAAAATTACATAACTCTGATTGCACTAATATGCATATTTATAATATGAACTTTGTCTATTGGCGTAACAATTATGCTTGAAAAATGTAACGCTATTCTCATGATTATTGGAACTCAGAATGATACAATTGTCCTCATAAGCTGTTCAAAGCTTCCTTTTCTTTCTTCCAATTTGGCTATTGCATAGGTCCCATTCAACAGAGTTCTGGTGAATTTGAGGTACATTTGAGGATCTGCCTTTAATGATTAAGCTGCTGGCCTAATTATTATGAGTACGATGTCCTCAAGGATTAAATCACAACGTCAGTGCAGTAAATATTTGTAACTTGACATCATAATTACATATACCTTGGTGTGTTTTTATTTTCATTTTAAAATGTGTAAAACATCTAAAATGATTTTGCATTCAGCTTCATGTCTTTTGTATAAGGCAGCTCCAATCTTACAGGCTTCAAATGTTTTCATGAAACATTTCAGTTCGAAGAGCTTTTCCCAGGTCAGTATGGTGGATATTGAAGAAATTTTAAATATGGTATGGGGAAGGCATTACCAGTGCTTAAGCCAAGTTTTATTCCTCTGTTAAATTTTGTTCTTCCAACACTCATGCATGCCAGAAAGCCCCCGGCATAATTGCATCCCTTTCTAAATACAAATTAAAACTAAATATAATGTATTCAAATATAGGAAAGAAGCAATATAGAAAAATGTCTACATAAAAATGGTTATCTATATACTGTAATATTCCAAAAAATACCATCCAGAAATAAAACAACAATATTCTTGGAATAAATGGGTCAAAATTAGGAACTGAGAAGCAGTTTAATCCCATCATAAAGAAACAGATAAAATTCAGGATCCCCCAGGCATGAAGAAAGAAAAGTGTGGATATATGAAACTGGAAGACAGCTTTTCCTAAGTCAATATCCTAAATAATGAGCTGTTTCCTTCTATTTTGTGGCAGGGGACCAGTGAGCTGAAAATAGCCATTCCTAGGCCAAGGTATGACAGATGTATGAATTACAGCTTCAATAACTCTTCAGCAAGCATGGGAATTATGCTGTAGAGTCAATAATCCAATTGAAGCATCACGCTATAGAGACTACTAAAAGATTGAACCCAAAAATTATCCTAAGTAATGAGCTGTTTCCTTCTATTTTATGGCAGAGGACCAGTAAATTAAAAAGTGTCAGATTACTGTTTAATGTTATTTTTTAACATCTACATTAAGGACAGGAGTATGTTAACAATATCTGTACTTTTCCTTTTGTGAAAAAGAAGGAGGAGAAAGAGGAGGAGGAGGAGGAGGAGGAGGAGGAGGAGGAGGAGGAGGAGGAGGAGGAGGAGGAGGAGGAGGAGGAGGAGGAAACTTGATCATTGTTACTTCACAATCATATTTGTCCCGGTGCCATACGCAGGATCCAGCATCCTGTATAGCAGGTGTGGGCCACTGTGGCAACTTCATGATCTGTGGACTTCAACTTCCAAAATTTCTAAGCCAGCATGGACAATTTCAGATATTTGTCTTTCTAACAATAGTCAACATCATGGTGCTGACAGGTTTATTTATGGTCCTTTAATGTGATATGATGCTATAAGTCAGAATATTGTAATATTTAAGCTATTATCCACAAGTTGTATAAGGTGAAGTGATACTTATGAAATCAGTTACCTGGGAAATGTTTGCCATTTTGGCAATGAGTTCTAATGCTTCCAAATATAATAATAGTCCTTTTATCAACCATATTATTTTTAGGGGTGAAAAAATACAATATTCCGATCTTATTTTTTAATATTTAAAAACATTTTTGCTTTGAATTATATTCAGCGATAGAAAAGTCTTGCTTATAATATAATATGTTCTGCCAGCTAATAATTTAAAATCTGAAACTTAGCTGTACATGCCAGTATACAGTACTACAGTAGCTCAGACTGAAGCATTTTTTCTAGTTCTTTAAATCACTGTTTTTCTTGGCACAAAAACACTTTCTCTAATTTGTTCTACAAATTTGCTCAATGGAACTTTTTTCATTCTTATTAAATTAACTAACTCTTGTATAAGTAGATCTCCTGATTCTGTATGAAACCCCTAATTGTACCAGCCAGGAAAAAAACCCATTTCAATTGTAAGTTGTTATACTTAGCCAAAGTAATGCATTACCAATATGTTAAATCAAAATAGTTTTTCCTGTTGAGAAAACTCCTTAACTGAGTTTCATGTCAACAACAACAACAAAAAAAAAAACCAATTTGTTTAGAAGGATCTTGAATACCGAGAACAGTTATGAGGAATAATTACCTTATGAACAGGTTTAACACAAGAAGGAATTATAGTCAAATGCATAATTTCTATGGAATCTTCCACCAAAACGATTGAGATTTTTCATAAATTAAATAATCTAACTGTAAAGGTACCCTATTGGCAATATTACTGACCTTGAATACATTTCACAAAAAGAGAATGGAATGACGGACAAAGTATTTTGTAATCCTTTCACCCAGAATCAGCTTTTCATTTGGAATCACCCAGAATAAAATCACACATGTGAATCTGATATTATTAAATAGAAGGAATATGGTGAAGTCAAAACCTTAAAACAATTATATTATTGTAAGGTGCTCTGAGCCTGCAAGTATTCAACAATAAAGCCTTCTTCAATCAGTGAAATAAATCAGGATCTAGTATCAGTGAAATCTACTTTTTTTGCCACCGGTTCTGTAGGCGTGGCTTGGTGGGGGTGTCATGTGACTGGGTGGGCATGGCCAATTTTTAAAAACTTTTTAAAGCATTTTTTCCTACCAATTCGATCAAATGAGCAGGAAAAAAATGCTTTAAAAAGTGGGGGAGAAAGTTCCGACAATCGCGTGGCACAGCTGAGTGTCACGGGCAAACCTTAGCATTTTTTGCTACCGGTTCTAGCGAACCGGTGAGAACTGGTAGCATTTCACCCCTACCTAGTACGGATTCTTTGCTGAACAAAAAATGGATTAGTTGTTTTCCCACCTGAGTCATCAATACTGTATTGCCTTACACACTTCTCTATGGAGTTCTTATTCTGGATCATGCCTGCTAATTTAATTCTGCTCTTGCTCAGTTTTTTTTAAACAAGTAAATTGATTACTTGATTAAGTACTAGATTTAATCAAACTAATTATTAGAGAAAATATGATGCAAATTAGGTAAAAAGTAAAGGTTCCCCTTGGACATATGTGCTTG